TGTAGTCGCGTTCTTCCATCGCATCGTTGACGGCGTCGACAAATCGCGAATAATGTTTTCCACATTGCGCAATGTAGTCAGTACCCGCGCTTGGTGCGGTAGGCACGTTGTTCCCCATGATCTGCGAGACGAGCTCGGCGGCCTCTTCATTGCTATCCTCGAGCGGCTGGTTCGCATACGGGTCGGCTTTCATAATCAGGTTGATGTCGGCTTGGAGCGCGGCGAGCTGGGCTCTGTAATGACTGTCCCGGTTGTCGGAGAAGGTAGCCATCATCTCCGCCAGCTTCTCGGCAAGCATGTTGCGCCGTTTGTCGCGCTTCGAAGGTTGTGGTTGAGGGGATGTCGCAGAGTGACCCAGCGGAAAGTTGTCCGCTGGCGACGGACTGCCATTTCGAACCATGGCGATAGGTGATGCCCTCGAGGGTCTAGGAGGCGTTGATCGTCTAAAGCAGGGTAGTCGCAGCGCTGCGCGTATGCTGGGGTCGGTTTGCTGCGTCGAGAAGAAGTTGGAGTCAGCTCGCTATATGACACTAGAAATGTGACAAATCACAACTGCGCGTTTGACGAAGCAGTGCGACAGAGGTGCGTACGGCGGGATGTGGTTTGCAAGAGCGAAGGGTCGGCAATCGAGCATCACACACCTGCCAGGGTCTAGCGTTCAGGAACCGCGCTAGGACCAATTCAGATGAACCGAAACAAAACCTACCAAAAAGACCTCCAGGGCTGTCTTCGCGCCTCAGAAGCTTGACGTCACGCAGACCGACAACATTAATTGAGATATTATGATCATCTTTCGTAGACAGTTTGAACGGTTCAACACGTAAGAGCGCCATTCGATACGACCGGAACGGACCCACTTGAATTATATCCTTCAATGATCAAATCCTAAAGGAGTGACGTCTTCTCTAATACCCTACACTCATACACGTTGTATTCTTTCCATTACCCTACTCCACTTCGTAGTTTATCTCCGCCTCGTTCATTGTACCCTCCCGCAGCCAGGATTGGTCGCCTACCGACGCCACCATTTCCATCCATCGACCTCGGTCTAAGCTCTGAAGCGCCTTGCAAAGTCGTCGCACAGCTCAAGCGTCAGGGTTGCCTCGCCGTGATAATATTCAGTGCCCTCGGGCCTGTGATCTCCGACCCAAACAATCTCCGTGAAAAGCAGACCGTCGGTGTTGTGAATGCGAAGCTTCTCGTCTTTGAAGGCTAACGCGTTTGGGTCGTTGCTCGGCGTGTTGCTCATGCTGTACCACAGATCTTCTCCATTCAAAGAGTACTGCAGGTTCAAGATCGGCTCCTTCGAAAAGGCGCCCTGCTTGATGACCTGGACGCTGACGCCAACGTTGTCGACAGCAGGTTTCTGTGCCTCGGTGGATGTGTCGCCGGGCTGAATCTCCTTCAGCGGAGTTGCATCCTTCTGAACGGTTGAGACCCAAACAGAGTAGTGGCACTTGTTGTTGATGACGATGTCGGCCGCGAAAGCGGTGTTGGCTATCAGAGCGAGAGAGCCGATGAGAGTTGGGGAATGCATCTTGGCGGAGTGAGTCTCGAGATAAGGCTGGAAGCGAATAGAAGATTTGGTGATAGTGGCTTGTTTGTGAAGAAGCTTGAATGAGTTGCTTGAGCTTGCCTCTATACATACCGTCCCTCTGACCCTTTCTTATACATAGCGAGGACGTCTTAAAAAGCCAATTGTACTTCCTTCCGGATTTGTGTACGGTATCGCAGCCAAAACTAGAAGGCGCTGCTATCTGTACGATGCTGCGACCCAAACTAAGGTGGCTGTGTCTGATCGCGGATGTGACGGCAGGCCATCTCCTATGGATATCTGGATGATCTCATAGATCATGTGAGGAGTAACGTGCCCGTTATAGCAGAATGACTTCTTGAGACTGAAAGGTAGGGTTGAGCCCCGCTTGTCCGGCGTGGCACAGCAGCTAATATGGCGAGGCAATCGTTGTATCACGACGTTGACGCAGGTACAATCGTGCAGATACCCGTACAGGCGGTGAAGAGGTTTTGACGGCGAATAGAAGAAAAGATAGATAGTAGGCAGATGACAAAACAGTTTTGAAGCCGTCGTCTCCGGTATGAACGCGTGACTGACGGGAGCTAACCGGTGAGCAAAAGAGGATTGCGCGTCAATAAATGTTGTGGTAACGAGATATCACAAAGCGTGAGACGGGTGTTCCTACGACAATCCTGTCAACTGTCATCATGCGGGTGACTGTACTCGATCAACATTTCCCTGTACAAACACACGATGCTAGCTCTTTGAGAGTGTAGGTGGGTCCTGCAGTAAAGCAGAGCTCTAGCGAGCCAATCCATAAGGTACGCCATACTGCGTGGCCTTCGTGGTCACGCGTGGCTATGGTGAAGAGCAGGTTCGTGACATGTTCGCGTTTGTGACATGTTGACTAGAGTGAAGCATGTTTGCGTGGGACAAAGTAAATTTTTCAAAATGTGATCGATCTAGTCAACTCCGTCGATACTGAGAGTGCGCAAGGTCAACGGTAACGTGACAAAGCGTAGATTGAAGCTTGGAGGTCTGTCGGTTCACCACTTGGTATGGGGAAGGAGGAGAGTTCGAGAGGGCGACTAAGCCGGGCGGTGCCGTGTGCTGCCGAACCTCGGCATAGACGTCAGAGCGCGTATCCTCCACATCCCGCCGCCCGCATCTTAGCCACGGAAGTGTTGCCGCCATGTGACAACCACGCTTCTGCTCGTTAGAGTCCATTTCTCCGCATTTTCAGTACAGTTCGAGCTTTTTGAATATCGTCATTCAGCCATGTCGTCCTCTGCCCTCCGCACATCCATGAGAATGGCTTCGCGGCCTCAACAACGGCTGGCCAGCATCCAAAGACAATTCAGCAGCTCTGCGCCGCAAAGGAAAGAGATTCGCGATGCATACATTATAAGTGCCAGCCGAACACCAACTGCAGTGGTTAGTAGAATACCGTCCCAAGTCATATCAGCTGCTAAACATGTCATAGTTCAATGGCAACTTCACCACCGTATCCGCGACCCAACTCGGCGCCACAGCCATCAAGTCCGCCCTCGAAAAGTCGAAAGTTCCCATATCCTCGATCGATGCCGTATACATGGGCAACGTCCTCTCCGGAGGCGTCGGACAAGCACCAGCGCGTCAAGCTGCCATCTTCGCCGGTCTACCCACCAACATCGAAGCCACAACTATCAACAAAGTATGCGCATCCGGTCTGAAAGCAGTCAACATCGCCGCCTCGACCATCGAGCTCGGACAAGCGGAAGCGCAGGTCGCGGGAGGCATGGAGAACATGACAAGAGTACCATACTATCTGAACCGGGCAAGCCAACAACCAGCATTCGGCCACCAGAAGCTGCAAGACGGCCTGATCGCTGACGGACTATGGGATGTCTACAACCAGATCCACATGGGCAACTGCGCGGAGAACACAGCCAAGAAGTACGAAGTCTCAAGGCAGGACCAGGATGACTACGCGATCGAGACCTACAAGCGCGCACAGCAGGCATACAAGGATGGACTCTTCAAGGACGAGATTGTGCCAGTCACCGTCAAGTCGAAGAAGGGCGAGACCATCATCTCCGAGGACGAGCAGTACAACAAGCTGAAGCTGGACAAGGTCTCCACACTGAAGCCAGCCTTCGAGAAGGGACCAGACGGCTCAGTCACAGCAGCGAACAGCTCACCTCTTAGTGACGGTGCATCAGCACTGATACTAGGAAGCAAGGAAATCGCCCAGAAATACGGCAAGGACAGCCGCGTACTAGCAAAGGTCGTCACCTACGCCGATGCCGCCGTCGGTACGTACTACCCTCCTCCTCTTACAACCCATCCTTACTAACACCACCTAGACCCCATCGACTTCCCCGTCGCCCCCGCCTCTTGCGTCGAGAAACTCCTCAAGCAATCCGGCCTCTCAAAGAACGACATCGCCATCTGGGAGTTCAACGAGGCCTTCGCCGCCGTCATCAAGGCCAACGCCAAGATCCTCGGTCTCGGCACCGACAACGTAAACCCAAGGGGTGGTGCTATTGCGCTGGGACACGCGCTGGGTAGCTCTGGAAGCAGGATATTGGTTACGCTGCTACACCAGCTGCAGGTTGGACAATATGGCGCTGCTGTTATCTGCAATGGAGGCGGCGCGGCGTCAGGTATTATTGTGCAAAGAGTCAGCGCGGATCAGCTATAGAGATTTACGAAAGTATGATGTGTAACTCAAATAACAAAAAGAAGCTCTGGAACGATGCAAAAAGACAATTCGTCCATACTGCGTTGTTGCCACAAAAATCCCTCGCATATCTTCTAACCCGAAGCCCTTACCACGCACCCATCCCCAACAGCAACACACTGCTTCCACCTCAAGTTGACGTAGCACAACCCAGCAAAAAAAGAAACTCGACGTTGGCCAGACTCGAACTGACGCTCCCTAAGGAATTAGATTTCAAGTCTAACGCGATAACCACTCTAGGAACCCAGAATTAGTAAGCAGTATGTGAGGGGGATAGAAGAGGAGCTTACCCGCCACAACGCCAGGATGATGTTTGGTGATTGATGATGTCATCGTGAATTTTATGAAATATGTAGAGGGTCAATCCAAAAAGTCAAAGGAAGAAGGGATAGGAGTGTTGAGATCTATTCTAGATGGCAGAGATGGATGGTAGAGGTGGAGTACGCGGTGAGTTGGCGGCTACGTACAGGTGGTGTGATGGGTGGGTAAGTGGTTGTGGAACGTGGGACGATGACGAGATCATGTAGGAAGACGAAAGCGGTAATGAGAATATCGGAATGGGATTTTGGGGGTATAGCAAGGGACATGCGATGTAATTATGATCATTAGATCTATATTCCTGCGTCAACCCTGACTGCAAAAGCTAAGACATATTTTACCCCCGGGTGTACGCCTACATTCCAAAGCCCGAAGAAAACAAAACGTTCTTGCACCAGGTGGAAAGAACATGATGACAAAATGATAACCCAAAAGCCATCAACCTCATACCTGGTTAAGACCCAAATCCATATCCGTATCCAAATCCATAGCAAAGTCCATATCATCCCAGGGCATCGCATCAGTACCCTCAACAGCTGCCATACCAACACCAGTAGTCGTGATAGGAACAGTAGAGTCAAAGTCCGCGCTGCTCGTTGGGTTCTGGAAATCCTCTGGCAGTTGATCCCACGAAGGGAACTGGAAGTCGTTGACAGTAGGCCCACCCGCAGTCAAACCGGCAACCATGGGCTGTTCGCTAGCGCTGGATGTGAACGGCGCCAGATGCGCAGTCGAATCATCGAGCCAGTACCTCCTCTTCGGTAACCCAGCAGTCTTAATCGAGAAGCCGATCTCGCCTTGCTCGCCGCGACAAGTACCGGCTCCTGTGCACGCGAGTTCTGAGATGGGCTCACAGAAACCTAGTAAGTTGTCTGCGCTCGAAGTAGTCGTGATGGGAGCGTACGACGCTGGTGAGGTAGGCGATCCGGTTAGTCCTGGTACGCTGTAGGGTGTTTGGCGACCCGAGGAGAGTTGTCGCGCATGTCCTTGAACGGCGCCTACCGAGCCGGATAGCGCGAATTCGTAAGATAGGGCACGCAAAGGATCGTTCTGCGACATCGAGGTGCAGGCGAAGTTGCTCACGTCGAAGCTTGGATCTAATGCGGAGCCGTAGTTGATGCCGAGGTCTTCGAATATCTCGTGTTCTCCGTTGATATCTGTTCTGATGTCAGCCACAGGTTTTGAGACATACAGGAATAGATTTTACATACTCTTTATTGGGGTTTGGCAGTTGATGCCGTGTGCTTTCTTGAACAAGTTCAGCCATTCGGGGTTATCCGCAGATGTTTGGTTCCATGGATCATCGTCGTCGTAGAGGATACGACGCGACTCTGCTTGCAACACCTCGTCGGTCAAGTTTGCGGAGCCATGCTTTGCGATGTGCTCTCGTGCGAAACGGCCCAGCTGCAGTGTGAGAATCTCCCAGCAGGTTGCGTTTGGGTTGTCAGCGAGGGACTTGGAAGGAGAATAGTCTTTTGGTGTCGTCAGGACGATGGGTCCGATAGTAGAGGGATCGCTGCCAGGTTGGTATGCCGCAGACACGTTGTTCGTGTAGTCGATATCATCAACGTTGGGTAAAAGGTATTCAAGGTCCTTGCTGTCGACGGATAGATTAAGCTGCTGTTGACAAGTCAGCCTGTTGTGCGCAGTCCACATGATCGCCACGATGGTACGTACCTTGAGGCTCGCAGTGTTGGATGCTGAGAACGGGAATGGCGATTTGCTTTCGTTGGCGATGAGATAAGGCGGCATCGCGTTCGTGACGTGGATAGCGACATGAGGGTCTAAGCCCCTGCATCCCTTCCAGTTCTTCATGTGTGCGCCGTTGCGGAACTCTTTCGCCAAATGGTCGAGGCGGTCTTGCCACTTGTCAAAGTTCATCCCGCAAAAGCCGCAACGAGATTTGATGTATTGGGCTTCTGACTTCCATGTGTCCATACTGGAGGTCATCTTGCAACCGTGCATGAGTCGTAAGTGTTGACGAAGATGGTCTTTCCGGTAGAAGGTTCGGGACTCTGGGCCCTTCTCGTAACAGGCGGAGTGGTTGTGCGTGGCCAAATGCTCTTTACTGGGGTCTAGCTCATCGCAGTATACGCATCGGGGCTTTCCGGTAGCTTTGTCGGCGACAATCTCACCCAGAGGGGCACATAGCCATTTCTCCAGTGACAAGTGAAGACTCTTCTCGTGCCGCGACCTATGATCTGTCAGCTTGGTGTCTCTTCTTATACTTGACATCCGCATAATATCCCAGGTGTAGTAACCGAGCAAGAAGAAGACCACACAACGAGAACGTGGAATAGCGGAAGGACGACGATGCGACCAATCAGGCCATGACTTGATGTTGAAGAAATTTGTCGGCTTCAGAGTGGCCGTTGCATTGCGAGAAATTAGGAACAAACTCACCAATCGTATTTGGACTTGAATGTATCAGTGCAGAACGTGCACTGAAAGATACGTTGCCCCTCGTCAGGACCAGCTTTTGGTGCTCGGGTGGGAATGCGACGACGCCTTCGCCTCTCCTTGGACTTCAAGCTGTTTAACGAGCCGAGGGAGTGGCGCGAACCATGCGAGTAGGCTGAGTTGTGAGATCCAAAGGAGCCAGACGACACGTTGGTAGGGCGGGTCTCCAGGGAGGAGATAGAGGGTGCTCTGAATACAGAGAAGCTTCCGGTGCTATCGTTGGATATATCCTTGCGATAGCTGCTACTTGAGCTCTCTGTTTGCGGCAGGTCGAAAGTCTCAACAGCGTGCGCAATAGCGTTCATCGGCGCAGGTTCGTTCTCAGGAGGAGAGTGCTTCCATCGTTCGAACGGATCTGTCGAGAGTTAACCGAAACATTCCTGCTGCTGAAGCACCGGCATTTGAGCCATCGTGCTAGTGTCTGGGTCGCTGCTCTTATCCTCTGGACGCCTGTCACCCACACGGAAAGTGATGAACTTTCCTGTGGAGGACGAGGCCAGAGTTTTGTGCGATCTTGTGAAACCAGACTCGGAATACGTACTCATGCTTTCCCAGGTCTTGCCTGCTGGGATGTTGATAGCTCCTGTTGATGGTCGGAGACTTGGCGAAGCGCTTCGCTTGGGTCGAGCCTTCTGCCTTCGCCTTGTGTTCGCCATCCAGTTCGAGATTTGACCGACCGATAGGCCAGTCTCTTGCTTCAGCGTCTCCTTCTCCTCGTCGGTCGGGTATGGATGATCGATATGCATGAGCATCCAGTCTTTGAGCACTTTCACAGCCGCTCGTGGAAAGCGAGCAGCTGCAGCACCCTTCTTGGGACCTTCGTCATCCTCTTTTCCATCTTCGATCGGACCGAGGTGACCTAGCGATCGCATCTGCTTCTTACCAGTGAGACCACCGACATGTCGAATGTCGTTCTCTGCCACGACGTCTAAGGTGTCCAGCGCAGTCCTCTGGCGCATACCTGGCATCCGCTCAGGGTTGCTGAAGCTGCATGGTCGAAACAAAGCGTTGCATGGCGAACATCCGGATCGCTTGGAGCCATCGGCGTTGAAGATAAAGCATTCGAGAGATTTCGATCGACAGTACTCGCAAGGCTGAACAGCCTTTTGATAAGTCGGAAGCCAGCTGCTAAAGTTCGTATTGAACTCTGCACTTGCGGGTTGGATACTGTCGGAGTTCTCCAGCTCTCCAGATTTATCATCCAGTAAAGAGCTAGTTGGAGTCAGAACCATATACGCAGAGTTTGGCAATTATGAACCACTATCCTTGCTATTCTGCAAGTATACAAGTTTCATGTCGGGGTAAATGACTGGATAGGATACTCAGGGCACTCACTTCTGGGGTGGTGCTGTCTCAGACACGCCGAAAGAAGCTTCCTGTGACACGTTGGGCATGCCTGTTTCTCCGAAATCGACAAAGTCTGCCATATCAAAGGCGGCACTAGGCGTCGCCATGATGGTGGCGCGTGGTCCGGCTTGCAAGATCAATCAATCGTATTGGTTGGTGCCAATGGCTCGTGAGGGGAAAGAAGACAAATGCGCGCCCTCCGTACAGATTTGACAATAAGGCGCAAGATGTCGTTGCGGAAGTATGGTTGCTAAGTATGACTGCTGGCTTGGACTCATCTTTAGGACCATGCCAAAGAAAGCACTGCACACTTTCTACAGACGCTAAACCGTATTCTGAAGGATGTCGAGTTGAAGGGCGCAGTCCGTGCGCTTGCAAGATACAGATTAGCCAGTCTTGAGCGGCCTAGTCATCCGATAGAGAACGCGTTCGTACCGCTGAGTCATTAGCATGACATTGCGGTGTTGGACACTCGATGCAGAGGATGGAGGTGAACAATTGATCAGGACATATGTACAACTTGGTGGAAGTCGACGTCGTTTTAAAGTCTCCTACACAGTTTTGCGAGGATGTGCGACAGTCCAGCAATACAAAGACGCGAATATTACCGGGCTATTGAACCCCAGCAAAGCTGAAGCTGACATACCCCACATCGGTTCTGCGCGATGCACGAACATGGCGGAAGTCATCCTCTAGCTCTTGTGGCAGGTTTGCAATTGGTCGTCGAGGATCTAGAAGTTAGCAGACCGTTTGGGCGCACTGCATGTTGGAATGGGGTGCCGCTCCAGGCTCGGAAGACTTTGCGGAGGATGCGAAATCGGCAACCGCAGCCGTCACGTATCGAAATATGCACGCCATGCAGCAAGCGGTCAACTGGCACCGTTCATCGGAGGTTTGCGAAGGTCGGCGAAAATTTGAACGTCGGGACCGAAGGATTGGCGGCTGTTCGGGAGGACTTGACCCGTCCAGTACGCGGAGACTGTCGTCTTAAATAGGACCCAGGCGGTAGAACATGATGATAGTTGTGAACTGACGTCCACAGATGCGCATGGAGTTTCTCGTCGTTCCCATGGATGAAAGAAGCTAGCTTTGGCAAGAGTGACGCGTGACGTCACGAAGCCTGCCGTGTTAGGGAGGCACCTACAGAACATAACAACAGAACATCTGCCAGGCTTAGTGGTCAATAAACCTATCGAAATCGCTCTTTTTTTCTTCGAAGCTGTACATGACTTCTGAAGAATGCATCTCACTCACTCAAAGTACGGGTATTCCACGCACAGGTTTCTCCATGCCCTGGGTCACTCAGCCTACCTCGCGTGCCAGGTAGTCCAACCGATACGGAGCATCGACCGCCCATAGATCAGACATACATCGGAACGAGCTGAGAGTAGAAGTGACGGTGAGTCGATATCGCTTAATGCTTAACAACTCAAGCAAATCGCGAATAGCGCTACGTGACGCCCTAAAGCACCCAACCATCCGTCTCACGTTGCTTTTCAGGTACCACAACGATGCATATCACTCACATATCACGTCTCTGATAGCTTTGGATACGGAGCACACTTGCACTGGTCCTGATCGGAGAGCATCGAGGGGTCGGACAAGGCTGGAAGCGAAGGCGGGGTAACCTGATGCGAAGATCGAGTACTGACATGTGCCACGCAGACTTACAGCTCCGTGCTCACGATCAAGGCTGTCCTCCATCACCATAAGACGGTGAAGCATATTAGTCGACATGTGCCTAGCTTCCGATGGACTCCTCGGACTCTGGACTGTTATATGTAGACAGCCTTGGCATAGCGCGAGGTTGGGTGTCGAGCGGACCTTAGCGATTCTGCCAACTCATAACGCATCCGCAGTCTGTCCAATACATCAATCCGTCCATAAGCTGCCCGAAGCTAGCCAGTCCCCGTCACTGGCATCCACATTGCTCGTCATGTAACATGTCACTTGTCACCGCCTGTGCCTGATTACCCAAGCGCGAGCATCCGCCTAGGGCTTGTTTTAAACCGACGATACTCCATACCGCAGCCTCACTCTGCCTCTGCAGCGAGCTCCGAGGCAGCTTCTTAACGTGTACGGCCCACTCTGGACCGACGATGATTAGCAGTGGCTCACCAATTTGCTACCCACGAAATGGATGCAGCTCCCAACTGTGCCATCTGCAATGCGCCGCCGTATCCTGAATGCTCCTGCGAGTCGGAGCGGCTACAAATAGCCGTCAAGCAGGCTGAGGCGCGTGCTATGGAAGATCGCATGGCTGAGATACGGTATGATCCAGATACGCTCCTTGCAGTACCTGCTGACCATGTATAGAGACTGGGTAATCAACAATGCGCGCCAGCATATCCTCAACGCATTCGAAAGATTGACCTCGACACGCAAGCAAGCGCACTCATCATACCTAGCCTCCCTCCCGAACTACGAGGTCTACATGCGATACTCTGGCCACCCGCCGATACACCCCATGTACGTTGCGACGTTGCAGACACAAATCGCAGAGGCGCACGCGGAACTCAAGCGCGGTATCGACGCCGACTGGCGCGCATCGGTGCTGCGATATCCAGAAGTGCTGGACTACTTCTACAGCCTTGTCGAGCTCAGACTGCCGGACGATCGCTCTCGAGAAGTCGTTGAACCACCCTTCGCCGCGGCAGGCTACGCGGATGTAGGGTATGGAGTCAAACAGAAGAAGAAGAAGCGAAGGGAGAGGGAGGGATCAGTGCCGCAGCAACACATGGCTCTCAGAGTGATGCGTGGAGTGCCACCTCCTGCTGTGCCGACTCCGCCAATCCACCACAACGGGTCGTATCCTCGGCCGCCCGATCCCTACGGATACTGAATCGCTGGACGCCTACTTTCTTTCCGTTTGTTTTCCTATGCTCACTTCGTAACGTCCTGTCACGTTCATCGGAACGGATGGTGGTGGGTAGTACTGCTGTTGCAGGCATGAGAGGCCTTCGAGGCAATGAAGAAGTAAAGAGTGCCACAGCCCTACTGTAGCATGTACTGGCGCTATTAAATTTGGTCTCGTTTCTGATATTGCGACCGCTCTATATTCACAAGCGAAATCAAGCATAGCGAGGAGTGTCCGTTCACAGGAGTTTCATGCGCAGCGTATACTATCAGATCTTCAACATGTACCTGAATCTGAATCAACTCCTGTAGTTTGCTCGAATACAATCAAAGTTCGATGATTTTTCAGTATAATGTTGGGCGATCGCGGATAGCGCATGCCTGAGGCACCTTCCGCTACGTAAGTCCGTGCACCCATGGAAAGTCGCGACTTGAGCTTGTAGAAATCCTTAGACACATCACCACCAACCTAACCACACAAATTCCGCACGGTGCCACGCGACTTACTGAATAACTTAACAGTCGCCTAATTCTGAACAACCGACCGACACATACACGCGATCGCAAACGGCGTATTTGACCGAGTCGCCCATCATGAGCGGAAAAGCAGGCGCATACGGAACGTCTGGCGGCGGCGACACAGACTTCAGGAAAACATGGGATCGCGACGAGATGGCGCAGAGGGCGAAGGACAGGGAGGCAAAAGATCGCGAAGAGGGCAAAGAGCGATATGAGGCAAAGCTGGCGGGCAAGACATACAGGCGGAGGGCGTCCACGCCTGATGATCTGAAGCAGACTGAGGCCAGATCAGAGCGCATAGATTGGAGCAAGATGATCGGAAAGCAAACCCTCACATCAGCAGCTGCCGCTGTTGGGAAGAGGGGACGTGGTGCGGGCGCATACTGTCAAGCCTGCGACCTTACATTCAAGTACGTTTCTATTGTCGCACACCTGAAACCTATGAACTATGCTAACAGCCATCAGGGACAACATCCAGTACGTCGAGCATCTGAACAGCAAGCAACATTTGGTTGCGACGGGCCAGTCGGGCGAAGTCCACCGCGCGACAGTCCACGAAGTACGGGAACGCCTACGATACCTCAAGCGCAAACGGGACGAGGACAAGTTTATGGAGGTGACAGATCTGGACGCGAGGTTGGCCATGACCAAGGAGCAACTGGAGAAGGACGCCGAGGAGAAGAGGCGGCTGCGCAATGAGAAGCGCAGGGCGAAGAAGAAGACGGACGCGACTGCTATGGAGTGGAAGGTCGAGGGCGATGGCATCATCCGCTGAACACCATGGGCTCTCGATCCTCATACTACACTTTGGCACGGAGACCGATAAATGCGCATACTGGGGTCTACTATAGCCCACGTCCGGCTGGTCTCTTGGAACGCTCAGGCTGCGTGGTCTTCGGAGCTTGTAAGAAAGTGCCCTGCCCAGCCCTGGCGAACCGCATGCACCACTAGGCGCAGTTTTCTTCCGCCGATCCTGCGGACCTTTCATGTCAAGATTCGGTCATCATGCAACATTGTCTTCCGCCGAGCTTTCGCTCATCAGGCATCCAACCTTTCATGGCACGGAGGTCCGGGCCAAAAGGCTCGGGGATTAGGCGCACGACACCGCGGACGGCATACCCCACACATCAGCATCGCCCCTCCCAGCACTCCAGGCGTAATACATCAGCATGCTGATTTCTAAGCCCAACACCGAGTTGCGATATTAACCATAGCAACATAAATAAACACCGTTTCTCTTAGAAGCGCTTCTTAGTTCTGCATCAGTCAAGCTTCACACTTGGCATCTCTTGTCGTATCTTCCGCGTTTTCTCCCCGCATTCTCAGCCGCATTGTCACCTAGCGCTGACATCATCTTCGACGTTCTACATCAATCGCTATGGCTCAAGTCAATGGAAATGCGCCCAAGATTACGCTTTACACTAATCATCGCTGTCCTTGGGCGCATCGAGCTCATGTGGTGCTGAAGGAGTTGGGGCTTCCGTATGAGGAGGTTATCATTGATTTGGGTAAGCCGAGGGAGCCGTGGTATCTTGAGATCAACCCTGTAAGTTTGTGCCTACTTCCATATAGTTGAGTAGTATTAACACCCCCAAGCGCGGCCTCGTCCCTGCCATCAACTTCAATGGCGAAATCATCACAGAGTCCGGCGTTGTCGCAACGTTCCTAGCAGATGCGTACCCCTCACATGTTCTCCCCGCATCTGGCACCCCAGAAGCAGCTCTCACCCGGGCGAGAATCAGCTTCTTCGTCGATACCTGGTTTAGCAAGGCGGGAAGCTATTTCTACAAGATCCTGATGTGCGACTCCAAGGAGGAGCAAGCGAAGATGAGCCAGGAATTCGTGGATGTTGTAACCAAGGAGATCGAGCCGCTACTAAAGGACGCGAAGCCATTCTTTGGAGGTAGCCAGAAGGTTACGTTGGCTGAGGTAAGTACATTGTCAGACGATTACGAGTGACGCTAACAAACTGCAGGCTCTGACGGCACCTTTTATTATCCGCACATACGCCATGGCCAAGCATGAACTGCTTCCGAAATCCATCATCTCTGGCCTCGATGCACTGCCCAACTTCTCCAAGTGGGCCGCTGAGGTCAACAAGCAGGAGAGTGTGACATACATCTGGGACGAAGAGGCGGTCATCGATGGGACAAGGAAGAGGATTGAGAGCCAGAAGGCAGCTTCCAAGTGAGCTTACACGATAGTAATCCATAAGACACAGGATGACCATAGCAAGATTGTAACTACGCACAAAAGATGCAGCTATCTACCTATCTACACTTTTGAGTATGATGTTTGCTAGACCGCCTGATATTGCTCATGCAGGGATGCTTGCCTGATGCTATGTATTTTCTTTCTGGTGAAAAACAAATAGGGGAAAACAACGCCGAAGAGCGACACCGAAGCGCCAATAGCGCGCCTGAAAAGTCAAAAAGCCTAGCTGAATGCAAATCGCTTAACGAGTGCGCCTTGATATCTTTGAAATGAAGAAGCCAGGCTGGATGCAGGTTGCTTAACGAGTGTGCCGACGATGCGCGCTGGAAAAGCTACGAGACGTCATGGGCTGACGGAAAAGGAAAGCACCACCGGTGGTATTTTAGTCATCGATATCGCGAGGAAGGTGGGGAACACCGCTCCTAGAACCTCGAACCACAACGCGTCCGCTTCGTCGGTGGCATCGTCTTGTCTCCAGTGCAGAGCGACAACAACATCTCCGCCGCTCTTACATCATCGCGATTATGGTCGTCGTCGCCACCGGACCCCTCTGAGCCGTGCGCGCTGTCCACCGTGGTGGCTGTATCGGGACGAGTGACGCGGTCGTCATAAGAGACTTTCGAATGTGTCCGTTTCGCTCGAAAGCCTTCAACGTGGTACTCGTATGGAGCCGACGTTGGCGTGAGTAACCCCGGAGGCGCCTGGAAGCTGATAGGCGAGCCCAAGAGGGAAGAGCCGATTGTGCGTGGCGACCATGGAGATTGGGAGCGGTTGATGGGTGTGAACTGAGTGCGAGGAGACACTTCAGGCGAGCAGAGATACTTGCCATGGCGACTAGTGTCCGTCCCATACCCGCTCTCGATATCGGTCGGTCGCGCGCGCCGTTGCATGACCAGCTTCTCCTTGCGCAAGGGCGGCTCGCAGTGCATCTTCGGTGTCTCGATCAGCGACGAAGCGTCGGGCTTGGGAACAGCATACGCAGGACCAAGCTTTGCGAAACGAACCGTCTCTTGCGCGCAGAACTGCACAATGGTCGGGTCAATGAGAAATTTCGCAAAGCATGAGTCCTTCGGATGCAGACACTCGGAAGGAAAGTCGTTGCCGAATACCGGGGTGAGTGCCCATCGAATGTCGTAGCAGAATGTCGCTGCTATAGCTTTGGCTGCATGGTATGGCATCCAATAGCCTGCAAGAAGTCAGTACCCATCTCCGTATGACTGCTATTACAACTGACCTTGGCAGACTAGAGCCCCACCGGTGATACTGTAGCTGATGTCCTTCAGTCCAGGGTTCTCTCTCAACGCTTTGGCTGGTATCGTCTGCACCAGTCAGTCTCCTCTTCATCTAGTGGGCTAGTCAGCAACCTACCTTTGAATACTTCAACGATTTGAAGAAAGGCGTCATGCGAACGAGACCGACATTGTAGTCCCAGACAACAGTGTACTCTTTCTCGTCGTCTGGTCTCTTGTACGTGTACTGGAACACTAATCCCAAGTCAGCATCAAGCTAGCAGGAGGATGAAGAGAACCTACTTTCAAAAGCTTCTCGTCCAGTCTTTTCATGGAAGGCCTTCTTGTCGCTGTTGTACGGGATGTGCCTTACACCTTTCCTGGATATCTCTCCCAAAGGATAGATTTGAAACCGGCGATGCTGGTGCAATAATTCATGGTCTTCACCGGCCTCGTGCGGTGGGAAGTTGACGTTACCGACGGTTCTGTTGCCTTCTGAAAAGATTGGAGCGTCCTTCGGAATCTTTTGTCGTCTTGGCTCTGAGACTGCAGCCACTGGATATGGAGCTGGCGTCGGCGAGTTCGAACTGCGGTGGTCGTCGCGGCCACCGCAGATAGGGTTCAGCATTTGCGATATCTTCATCATAACGATAGCTTGCGAACCTTGCGGTTTATGAGACGAAGACTGTTGGTGCAGGTACTTTTCGAAAGGTACCGGTACTTGGCAGGGACGGTGGACTTGAAGACGCAAAGACCAGGTGGGAAAGCGAGACTAAGCTGCCGTGGAACAAAAAGATCGACTTGGAGTGGAGAGGGTTTGGGTGGCAGCGACGGGAAGAAGAGGCTGACGTCTTTTTCGTTTGCGAAATGCTCACGAGGACGAAATGAGCACCGTATACCTCCGGCCAGTACGGACGTGGATCGGAGGCTACCAGACGCTTGCGACAAATCTTCTTGCAATTAGCAGACGGCACCAGATACAACTGACTGTCATTGCGACGTACGTACTGAGTTCGACTGAAGAGGACCTGGGCGACGACGCGCTTGATGGGGTAGATGATGGCGAGGAGACGTGCGCTACACGTTGGTGATGACCCAATACGACAGCAGTGGCTCCGCCCAACAAACGGAATGATCCCGTGGCGATTGGATGGACCTCGTGTGGTATCCAACGGACACTTTGCTCGGCTATCGCAACAGTACTAGTCGACCAGTCACTTTGACAGCGAAGTCAGCAAGTGTCAAGAAGAGGCGATCGTGCAGATGCTGTCGACCAAGATGAGATGCAAGTCTTACCAAGAGTAGGGAAACGAACCAGGTTATCCTCTCGGGAGAGCTTTCGGCTAATGTCACTAAGGAGGACGGTATCCTGGGGCAAGGTACTTGTGCTGTACACGGCTTCTTAACGGGTCAACTCATGCCTTCACTTCGGCCCGCTAGTTGCTCAGTCCTGGCGACGCACTTCGCCAAAGCTTGTCCAAGCGCCTTGCAGACTACGTCCGGTGTGTAAGTGGACCAGCGTCCACACTACATGGCTTGCCAGGTTACGACGTGGTGGATCCATTCATTGGACCAAACGGCCGTTGCCGAAAGCAAGTGCTGGGATCTGAACAATGCGATAGTGAAAGAGGGATCGAGGGGATAGCGTCGTACGGCATCAAACACAACATCCGCCCTGAACCCTGCATCTGCACCAGGACATACATGAGTTCCTTTGTCGAGAGGACATATGCGCCGACCAAAACATTTCCAATGAGCTCGCGGACGTGCGAGCTGGCAGCGCTGAGCAGCTCAGCAACTCTTCAGCCACCGGCGGTATCAGCGGAGGACGTGGCATTTTGTGCTTCCTGATTGGCACCTATACATATCTCCAGACGGAACATGGCTTGTGGGAGGCTAGTCCATCGCTACGTCCATACCAGCGGTATCCGCTGCTGAAGGTACCTGGCGATTGTACCACCACGCCGCATGTACCTGGTCAGTCCGTACGAGTGGCATGCTCAGACTGGAATTGTTCCCGTGCAATCCTTCTGAGAACACCAGATTATTCTGGCATACTCCCTGTCGGCCTGGCATGAAAGAACCGGATCGGTGCAATGTTTACCTGCAGCGTCCCGTAGAAGTACGGCGCACGTCCCTCCTACCTTTCGTTGCAAACGTGGCCCAATTCCTCACGTATCTCGGATATCTGCACAATTGCAACTCCGTTGGAACCTGTCATTGGTGCACACACTGTCGGTGTGTGTTCAGCCTTGCTCCCGTTGGCGATACTCGAGATACGGTATACAGCATAGACACTGCTGGCTTGTCTCTGCAACAATAATCTGTCTACCGTCAAACATTGCAGGCTGAATGCAATTTCTGGATCAGACATATCTTTCTCTTCGTAGTGAGACATGGCGCGCTCTAATGCAAGCCCTTTCACCTGCCTGCGACGCGAAGTCATTCACAGTGGACTCTCGACGGGCCCTTGCCTCACCGGACCTTTTCAAACAAGTCGCGTTGTCACGTTCGCTTTGACATACGGTCAGATTGATTGCAGGCCTGCTAACGAAGAAAGGCGGTGTTCATGTCTCAGTACAGACCGCTCAAAGAAGACGAAAGCCAGGTTGCTGCACCAGCTGTCGCGACCCGTGACCACGGCTTGATGAGAGTCGTCTCCAGGGCTCTTGTGTATTTTTTCGTTTTATTTCCTGGCGAATTGGTGCCGTTCTGCAGAGCAGCTTGGATACTTACAGCCTTACCCGCTGTCACTGTGCGTGGCCGGCGGTGGGAGATTCGAACAACTCACACTGCCTTCCGGTCAAAGAAGAGTGACTTCGTAAGATCCTAAGCGGACTCGCTCGAGCTCATTGCGCTGATTGGGTCAAGGATCAATGCATTATGAGGAGGATGGTCATTCGCATGGCGCTCAGATGGGGAGGAGATGGGCGCTTGCTATCGATCATTGTGCATGTGCCCAGACTCTTTCCGCTTCCGCTGGTTACACAGAAGCCGTCACAGTGGGATGACAGTCGGCTCGAATTACCTCGATCAGCCAGGTTCATTCAGGGTGAAACTGCTGTGCGGCGAGCCCAAGTTGGAATTGAGCGGCGAACATCAGCAGGTACAGAGCCATGACCAGCGACCTCTTGGAGTTCGCACCCAATTCCGAGTCCAAAGCTATGGCCCGCGTCGAGCAAGGCAAAACAATTTTGTGGCGAAGCCATGTCTTGGTGTGATAGCTGTGTCTATTGGACATGACGCAGGTGAATAAACATCTCAACCCGGCCACACGCCATGCTGAGCGCGCGCTGTGGTGTCGTCGCAGGACCAGCGTCTAAGAGAACTGGCTGCACGACAACGCTGTCAACATGCTCGTACCTCTGATGAGCCGTTTTACCGTACGCATCGGCGCCGTCAGTCGTCCTCCCAAAGTTGACCAGGGTCTGCCATGAGTAATGAAAGACTAGAGGAATCATGCACTCGATCGCCTCAAGCTGTTCACCGCATCAGCAAGCACCAGATGCACGAGACAGACTACGAACAGCATCGAGGGGACAAGTCCAAGAACCCATGCGCGAGTCGAGCGTATCCAGCGATGCGTCTGTTCAGCACGACATGTAGTCTCGTAACACAGCTACTTTTTAGGTGGAAATATCGGATGTGGTGCCTCTTTGGGTAAAACCAGAAAGTAAAGTGCGCGACAACGTGTCGATAGAGGATGTACTGAACTAGTCGTGCCTCACGTACTCAGGCGACGCGTACATCCTCAACGCATTTGTTCCATTATCTCTCAACGGCCTTCTCATGCAAAGCATGTGCCAAATCGCGACACAACTATCATAAATTCATCCACTATACGAGAACCTCTCTTGGTTTTCTTGGTGTCGATCAAGATTATGAGGCACTGGCTCACCCAGTATTCTTGCTTTCACCGATGTTGTCTTCACGATCGTTCCACAAACGTCACGGCATGCACAAGAGAAAAGCCCGTAGCCCTTCAAGGCTATCTCAAATATCACAGCCTGAACGGTACTCCGCCCCCTCTGGCGCATCGAATAGTACCACCAAGCTGTCAGAATTGCCTTTCCTCGTGCCCGACGGGTGCCGCGTTGGGACGTGTCTCACACAACCTGACGAGGCGGAAGCAAGAGTGCAGTCGGTCCGCTGCCCCACCAAACCACTCTTGCACGACGGACTCCTTAATTGCCATCTTGTTAGGCTTTCCATAACGGCGCCTGGTAGTGCCTTTTCGCTAAAACAAAAAGGATGCAAGGATGATCCTCGCATTGTGTCTATGAGAAAGCACGACTTCCGGTTAAAATCTCAAGAACGACTGTCAAGGAGCGTTACAGGTGACGAATTGCGGGCACACAGCGTCTTGCGAAAGGACGTTTGGTGCACATAATAGTCGAGGGAGCACGCTCTGTACCCCGGAGAAGGTTCTGACTGACAGCTGCGGTGATGCAATCAAGCTTTGTGGCGCTTTCCACACGGTAGGACGACTTACGACGACACTCGAGCAGCAGATGCACGTTCAGTGAAAGCAGCAAAAGCATGCGCGCATCACCACACCGATACTCGCTTTACTAGCTGCACACCGGTGTATTGGTTCTTGAGAACGCAATTCGATGCTCTCAGTGCGACAAGAGGAGCCTCACCCTGCCCCTCTCGGTGTGCAACAATTGAGATAGGTATCCGATATCGATACCGCTGTCTATCTACTAGGTCCATCTCTCACGCAATACTACCCATGTCCGCTAGATGCCTCCGCGATCTACATCTATGGTGCTAACATAGTGCCCGAGGAGTAGTCCACTCCATTGACCTGGAAACCCAGACGGATCGCACGAACCGATGCCCGTTTCTAGTCGCCGCGACCAAGCGAGATCATTCACTCTATTGGATCCATCGACGCCGAACCATTCAAAAAGGACGGCGAGCAACGACAGGGAGCTTGCATGCATATGGCCTTGGCAATCTATCCAGACAGACCCCAAACACCTGCTCCGGGTCAGATGCGCAAATGAGGACAAGTGTCACGGCACCGGCTAGCTTGGGCGCTTCAGGTACCACGGCGTACGATTTGACATGTTCCTGACAGCACTGACAGGTGTCACGGTGCGAGTCTTTATGCGCGAGCATGGTTGAACAGTCGCTACGGAAGGTGAGCCGATTAGGGCAAGCATGCCTCACTCTTTGGGCTCTCTTCGTGACTCTTTCCCTTCTTACCTTTCCTTACTGCGGCAACGTACCTCGTCTGTCTCCCCCTTACGAACGCGCGTCACATGTTCTTCTTCTTCACATGACCTCACGTGTTTGTCATTGTCTATTCCATCTCTTTAGGCGGTGGCCACCACACCAGCCAGCACATCGGGTCACACACACGCATATGGACCGTAGGGGAGATGTACGCTGCAGCTCCTCGGAGTAGGGCGGACTCTTCCATTCAATTGCCGCACACGGCGAAGACGCCATCGAGCTATAGCCTCTAGTTCCATGTAAGTACCCTCTCCCTCCTCCGCTCCGCTCCCGTGCGGAGGCCCACACTGACAGACGATCCTATCGGTGTGAAAAGGAAGAAACTGTGTCACGTTTATATACCCTCCACCAACGTGGCCGCCACCATGCAACCAGCCGGGCAACTCAAGATACGTGCCGAAG